TTCTAATTAATGGCCAATCACAGCCCAGCTGGCTCAGACAGAGAATCCGAGACAGAGGTTTTATCATTCTTTCCTATTCTATTCTTAGCTAGTCTTCTGAGGAAATCCTTTCTTCTATTCTTTTAGTATAGTTTTAATGTAATATATATCATAAAATAACAAATCAGCCTTCTGAAACATGGAGTCAGATCCTCATCTCTTCCCTCATCCTGAGACCCCTGTGAACACCATCACATTGTGGGCTCCAGGAATGAGTTTGGGATGGATTTTGGGGTTCAGCCCCCAGCAGAGAGCAGGAGCAGCTCAGCCTGGCTCTGGGTGAGCCCATCTGGTGGAGCAGTGATTTCCACCTGGGTGATTTCCAGATTGGAGCAGGGCTTGGAAAAGGAGTGTCCCAGCTGGCCCCAGCCCTGCTGCACTGCAGGGACACCACAGGGACACCACAGGGACACCCCAGTGCTCCCTGGCATGCAGAGGAAGGAGCCAGATGTGCCCATAGGAGTGCCCAGCAGGGCTTTCCTGGCACCACCACCCACTCACAGGAAAAGCAGCCAGGATTCCTTCACATTCAGCAGAACCACAGCAAAGGGAGAAGGGAAAGAGCCTGAGGAGCTGGGGGGCCCTGGCTGCTGCAGCTGTGCTGGTGCTGCACACAGGGAGGAGCTGTGGGTGTGAGGGTGGCAGTGAGAGGGGCACAGAACAGGTACAGGCACTGCCAGCTCCAAATCCCCCCTGCTCCTGGAGCTTTGAGCCAATTCCCCGCTCTGGATGCTGAGAAGGTGGCCCAGGTGTGATGGGTGGCAGTGAGAGGGGCACAGAACAGGTACAGGCACTGCCAGCTCCAAATCCCCCTACTCCTGGAGGTTTGCGCCAGTTCCACATCTGGATGCAGAGAAGGTGGCCCAGGTGTGATGGGTGGCAGGAGGGAACCTGACACATTTCCTTCCCCAGCTCTCTCTGCAAGTGCAGCACAGTTTCCTTTATCAGGTTTGGTTTCTCTTATCTCCGCAGCCCCTGCGTGCCAGCCCAAGGCTGTGCTGGGGGTGCTTTCCACTGTGGGTGACAAGGACACCTCAGAGCTGGCCCAGAAACGTGGCAGGGCCACGTGGGTGCAGCAGGATGCTGTGGCTTCCACACAAACACAGAGGGCCCCACTGCTGCAGCCTGGGAGGAAATGGTGAGGGCTGGAGCTGTGCTCAGCTCCTGGGCCAGGCTGGGGGGGTCTGGGGGAATGGCAGGGCCCTGTGCCCACTGGGGGCTGCAGGTCTTGTGATGGTGTCACAGAATCACCTGAGGGTACCCTGAGCTGGAAGGGACCCACCAGGGTCACCAAAGTCCAGCTCTGATCCTGCACTGGGACTCACCAGGATCATCAAAGTCCAGCTCTGATCCTGCACTGGGACTCACCAGGATCATCAAAGTCCAGCTCTGATCCTGCACTGGGACTCACCAGGATCATCAAAGTCCTTACCCTGCACTGGGACTCACCAGGATCGTCACAGTCCAGCCCTGATCCTGCACTGGGCCCCCAAGTTGAAACTAATTCATTAAGGCAAATAAAACCCAAAATCTGAGATGTCCCCAGAGCCAGCCTGGACAATCCCAGCCCCTGCAATCTCCCACCATGTGAGATAAGGTGGAGCAGATGGGATGGGTGGCAAGGAGGGAACCTGACAGCTTTTCCTTCCCTAGCTCTCTCTCCATGTGCTCCAACCCTCCCATCTCCCCCTCCTGCCCACACAACGATCCCACAAATGATGGGCAGAGGGGTCTGAACCCTTTCCATGACCTCCTGGAGGCTCTTAATGAGATTCCTTAATTGCTGCAGGGCTGCACTGCACATCCAGCACAGCATTTCCCCATAACCCCATGTGTGTTCACAGATATTCAGAACACCAACAGGGAACAAATCCCCCCACACAGGGATGGCTTTTGCTTTCCACCCCCTGGCCCTTCCTGCCTGCCAGGGAAGGTTTGTGGGCACTGCTCTCTGAGTGAGTAAGAGCCAAACCCTGCTGGGGCCAGCAGCTGTCCCACCCTTGGCCACTGGGCACTGTTTGGTGACATTATCTCTCCAGATAAGCTTTGTGTGTGTGGTTTTGCTCTTTGTTTTAGCCATGGAGAAAGTTCCAGACATGCCCAGAAGGCACGAGCTGTCCTGCCCAGAGTGGCAGCAGTGAGCTGGGGCTCGGTGCCACCTCGGGGGCACCTGGGCAGGAGAAGCTGCTCCTTGGTTTTTGTCACCCAAAATGCCGCCAGATCCTGCTGTGGTGAGCACAGGATTAAGATGAGCCATGGGGAAAATCGAGGTGACCAGCAAAGCCCTTTAACTTGAGTGGAATTTCTCTTATTAAATTAAATTTAATGTTTATTAGTACCTGGGCAAAAGAGGCTGTTCCTTGGTTTTTGTCACCCAAAATGCCTCCAGATCCTGCTGTGGTGAGCACAGGATTAAGATGAGCCATGGAAAAAATCGAGGTGACCACCATTTAACTTGAGTGGATTTTCTCTTATGAATTTCAGTTTAGTGTTGCCTGTTGGAAAGGCTTTTCGAAAAGGAAAGGTTTTGTGGTGCCTGCATGCAGACCTCAGTGTTTTTGTTTTGTTTCACATGTTTTATTGAAACCGTCACAAAGGTTTTCACAGGTAGTGACAGCAAGTTCCTTTCTATTTCAGCCCAAATCTGTTCTGTGTGTGCAGCCAGAGCATCCCCAGGAGCTGGGAGTGAGTGAGCCCAGGGGGTTCTGAGCCCCTTGGCTGGGGCTGATTTGGGGCTGTGGTTGTCACTCTGTTGTGTGGCTCAGATAACTCAGAAATGGAGCTAAATGTGATTTTTTGGGTGGTTGTATGGACTGGAAGCCAAAACATGGACGGTGGATTTGTAGGAGCTTTGATATGGCTCAGGAACCCTGTGTCCCCCCAGCTGCTGGGCTGAGGAAGTGCCTGGATTTCCTGGGACAATGATTTCCTCTGCACTAAAATCCTGGAAGCCCCTGGGTTTGTTGTGCACAGGAAATCATTAGGAACAGGATGTTTGCTGCCTGCACACCCTCAGGGCCCTGAGCAGCATCAGGAGGAGGAGCTGTGGGTGCTCCCAGCTCTCACACACCGCTGCTGTCACCTCCATGGCAGAGCCCTCTCCAGGCTGGCCCTGCTCCTGAAGGAAGTGTGCTCACAGGATGGTCTGGGACATGGCCAGCTCTGTTTGTTTAAATCGCATTTTTGGGGCTGAAACCAGCTCGTTATTTTTTCAGCTGCTCTGGCCACACTCACAATTATTCTTTGGCATCTCTGCCCTTGTTGAAAATGCACATTTGGAAGTTGAAAATGCCCATTTGGAAGTTGAAAATGCCCATTTGGGAGTTGAAAATGCCCATTTGGAAGTCTCCCAGTGCCCAGCTGCATTCTGCTGTGCCTGGATGCACACACAGGGTCACGCTGCTCCAGAGGGACTGGTGCTGCTCATTTCCTCACTGCCAGCTGCAAACCTGGCTGGAATTTTGTGAGGTTTGCTCTGAGCAGCCCAGGAAGGGCTGGTGGCCACTGCTGCTTTCTCCTGCTCTGATGAATGTGGTGAGGAACACCACAAAAACAATGGGTGGGAATGCTGCTCCTGGGGCTGTTTGGGGTGACAGTGGGGCACAGGGCAGTTTTGTGCCTGGGGACAATTCCTGCCTTTCCATGTGCTCAGGAACCTGCTGTTGCTCTGGTTTAAGATATTAAACAACAACCAAGTGTTGGTATGTCCCATTGATGCTCTGCTGGCCCCATCTCTCCTGTCAGGCTTCACCTGCATGGGTGGGCATTGGTTCTCCTGCTTTGGGAGTGGTTCAGCTATCTTATTCCCAAATATTTCTCCCCACCTGCCTGTTTCATCCCTGGCCCTGGTTACTCTCCTCCAGTGGTGCCTCTGTCACCCCTGGCCAGGTTTGTCCCCTCAGTTTGTCCCTCTCTGGCTCCTTGGCCCTGGGCTGAGTGTCCAAAGCAGTTCCAGCTGTGCTGCAGCCCTGTCCTGCTCCCCATTGTCCCCAAGCAGGGGATCTCAGGGGTGGGATGTGGCTCTCCTGGAGCTGCAGGATCAATCCATGAGAAATGGAGCCTGAACCTTCTCCCCTGAGCTCCTGGGCCAGTGCTTGGAGGTGCTCTGAGTGATGTGACCCCTGTGGATGGGTTTAGAGAGCTGAGCTGTAAACACTGCTCAGGGCTGTCCTCAGAGTCACCTCTGGCATTTCAGCACTCTGTGTCACCTCCACGAGGAGCAGAGCTGCTTGGAGAGGTGAAGCACCTCTTGTAATCCCTGGCTGTTTGAAATTGTAATCAGTTGGTCTGAGCAGCCCCAGAGGGGAGCAGGGAATGGCTGAGCCTGTGCAGAGCTCAGGGGAGGGGATCTGCATCCCTGAGGTGCTGGGGACAACTCATGGCAAGCAGATGTGTGGGACTGGCAGGGCTCTGCACATCCCCGGGGGAAAGGCAGCATCTGGGGAATGTGCTCTCCCTGTTTATTGACACGCTTTCCCCTCAAACTGCTCCAAATGAGAGAGCAACGAACTACTGAGCAATGTGGGGAAATAAAAACAGCTAAAAACCCTTCCCTAAAGACACCAGAGCCCTCCCCATCCCTCCCTTGGCAGGGAAAGCCCTTTCTGAAGCCTCTGAGCCACGTCAGCTCGCAGCTATGACAGTCATCCCACCCTGCTGGCAGCGCTGCTCCCCGAGCCAGGGGAGGGATGGAACGGGAGCAGCCCCAAATCCTGTGGGCACCGGGTACGGGGTGTTGGGGGTGCCCCAGCCCCGGGAGGGACCCTGGGAGCCGGGCAGAGGGTGGCACCTGGCAGAGGGTCCCTGGGCACCTCACCCCAGGGCTGGGAGCTCCTCGCAGTGCCCAAGGGGAGCTCTCACAGCTGGCAGGGAATCAGGGAAGCCAACCCAGCTCTGCTCCTCTGCCCTCCCCTTGCCCCGTGGGACCCAGCCTGGCTTTAACCCTCTCTTTGCCCCCCCAGATCATGATCGAGTTCTGCCCGGGAGGGGCCGTGGATGCCACCATGCTGGGTGAGTGCAGCTGTGCCCAATTATAATATAATATAATATAATATAATATAATATAATATAATATACAATAAATATATATTATATATATTTACATTATATATTATATAAATTAATATATTATATTATAATCAATATAAATTAATATCTTGTATTATTATATATTAATATATTTATATATTGATATATTAAATCTATATTATAATATATTTTGAATATATATCATATATGTTGAATATAATATAATATATTAAGATTAGGAATGAATCTGACTCCATGTTCCTCTGAGAACATGAAGTCAGATTCATTCCTTCCAGCCACGGGGGACCCCAGTAAATACCACACCTGAGTGTGGTGGGATTGAGGGATGCTCTCTGCTCCTCAGCAGGGAGGTCACTCCTATCCCTGTGAGCAGCAGAAATGGAATCACTGAATCACAGAGCATTCCCAGCAGCTGCAGGAGGTGGAAATCCTGCTGCAAGTGCTGCCTTAGGAATAAATCACCTTTACAAGCTGATTTCCATCATCCCCCGCTGCTCTGGCACAGGGACAGTGGCGTTGCCATGCCCTGCTGGGTGACCTGGCCCTTCCTGCTGCTCAGGTGAGCATCCCCTGATCCCTGCCCTGTGTGACCCCCTGTCCCTCCCTGCAGAGCTGGACAGGGCCCTGACTGAGCCCCAGATCCAGGTGATCTGCCGCCAGATGCTGGAAGCTCTGCACTACCTGCACAGCAAGAGGATCATCCACAGGGACCTGAAGGCTGGCAACGTGCTCCTCACCCAGGATGGGGACATCAAGCTGGGTGAGTCAGTGCCTGGCACCCCCCCAGGGACAGCTGGAGCTGGATCCGTGGGGTTTGGGTGTCCCTGAGTGCCACTGTCACATTTTCTGAAAAATCCCTTCGCCAGGATTTCTGCTCCTGGGAAGCTGAGAAGCCTCAGAGAAAAATGAAAACAATAATTATCTGATGAAAACAAGAATTATCTGATTGCTTCTCCTGTGTTTTGCTGCTTTGGGATGGGTTTGGGGATTGTTTACCAACAGGTGGTTGTTTCATTGGTTTCATGTGAATTGTTTTGACTTAATGACCAATCACAGCCAGCTGTGTTGGGACTCTGGAAGGAGTAATGAGTTTTTCATTATCATTCTTTGTAGCCTTCTGTCTGTATCCTTTCTCTATTCTTTAGTATAGTTTAGTATAGCATATATAATGTAATGTGATATAATATAATATAATATAATATAATATAATATAATATAATATAATCCTTCTAAGAAATTATATTCCTTCTAATATAATATATTATATATTCCTTCTAAGAACATGGAGTCAGATTAATTCCTTCCTGCCATGGGGGACCCCAGAAAATACCACACCTGAGTGTGCTGGCATTGAGGGATGCTCTCTGCTGCAGGAGGAGCAGCAGCCCAAGGAGGGGAAGGTTTTGTTCCATGGAAAGGCAAATGGAGCTGCAGCCCCCATGGCACAGCCAGCTCAGCCCCCCGATGGATTTTTCCTCCCTGAATTTATTTAATCCCTCTCTGAACCCGATTTCTGTGGGTTTTGGCCTGCTGAGCATCCTGAGCAGGGGGTGCCAGCTGGCAGGGCTGGGAGCTGGAGGAATTCCTCTTATCTGCACAGCAGCTTTGGTGGTGACAGGGGCAGCCTTGCCAGAGGGTTCCTTTGCCAGCTCTGGAGTTCAGCTGGCACCCAATGAGTGCTGCAGGAGGGAGGAGAGGCTGGGTTTGTGTGCAGGACAGGCAGGGACACCCTGAGCTCAGGCTGGGGATGGGTGACAGCTCCTCCAGCTGCCCCCAGGGCTGTCCCAGAGAGCAAACCCACTGTGTGAGCTCTGAACCCCCTCCAGGTCTGACCAATTTAACTTTGGCTGAGCTCAGAAGGGACAAATCAGGGAGAGAAGGAATGGAACAGCAATTTGGTCTTTTTGCTCTAAAATCAGGCTTTTTGCTAGGAAATAGGTCCTGAAATCTGCTGTGGATGAATGTAGCACTTTGGTTTTTCTGCTCTAAAAATCAGGCTTTTTGCAAGGAAATAATCCTGAAATCTGCTGTGGAGGAATGTAACAGCACTTTGACTTTTCTGCTCTAAAATCAGACTTTTTGCTAGGAAATAATCCTGAAATCTGCCATGGAGCTGCTTTTGTTTGCAGCAAAGAGCTCCATTTCCTCACAGACGTGTAAGGTTTGGCAGGAGGGGGTTGTTGTGCCTGTTTTATAGCACATGGGAGAGGAAAATCCTGGGGGTCATGTACCCCAAACTGAGTTTTTTTCCTGATGCTCAGCTCAGAGGACACAGCCCATAGCATCAGTGTGTGTTGTTTGCTTTCCAGCCTGTGTCTCAGCCAAGTGTGCTAACTCAGAAGGCTTTTCCAGCTTTCCTCCAGCCTCTAATGTTACTGCTCTTTGCAGCTGACTTTGGGGTGTCTGCCAAGAACATGAAAACCCTGCAGAAGCGAGATTCCTTCATTGGGACCCCTTACTGGTGAGTGCCCTGCTCGTGGAGGGCTCCACTCCTAAAAATCAGCTTTGCTCTGGAGCTTTGAGGGGTGTTGGGCCACTCTGCTTTAGGGTGGGAGGGTCTCAATGAGGATTCTTGGCCATTTTCTTGCACATTTCAAGGGTTTTCCTTGAGCAGAGCTGTGAGAGCTCTGTGTGCTGCAGAGGGGTCACAGCGCTCCAGGCTTGCAGCGAGGGTCACACGAGTGTGCTCTCCCCATCCCGGGGCTGACATGGGCTTTGAAGCCACTCCAAGCACATGGGAACAAGAAACACAACCTCTAAATCACCCAGCTTGCTGGAGGAGTGGAACTCCAGGGATTAATTGATGCTCTGAGGCAACATCCGCGCCAGATGTCAACGGCCTGGGGGTTTTCTGGGGAGCAGGGAGGGGGCTGCACCCCGTGGAAAAGATGCTGAAACCCAGGGCTGGGGGGGAAAGCTGTGTTTTCTACAGCTCTGGGAGGAACAGCTGTGTTTCCTGCAGCCCTGTGGGTTATTTGTGGGCGTGGGTTATTTGTGGGTTATTTAATTGCTGCTGCCCTGCCCCTCGCAGGATGGCCCCGGAGGTGGTGATGTGTGAGACCATGAAGGACACTCCCTACGACTACAAGGCTGACATCTGGTCCCTGGGCATCACCCTGATCGAGATGGCCCAGATTGAGCCGCCCCACCACGAGCTGAACCCCATGAGGGTCCTGCTGAAGATCGCCAAGTCCGACCCGCCCACGCTCAGCTGCCCCTCCAAATGGTGAGGGGGCACCTCCCAGCTCTCACATAGAGAAAAACCAGTTGGTTTTAGCAGTTTTCTTTAATTTGGGTAGGGGTTTAGCTGTGTTCCAGCTCCAGCTGTGTGCGGGGCCTGGGAAGGCAGTGCTGGCTGAGGGCAGGATGCTCACGCTGTGCTCACAGGGTCCAGGCAGCACAGGGAGAGCTGCTGCTCACCCACAGACCCCCCAAAAAACCAGGGGTGACCCCTTGGCTGTTCTCAGAACAAGCCATGTGTGTGAAAGGCAGGTTTTTCTCTAAAGCTGGAGATGGCCATGAGCTCCAGAATTGCTTTCCCTGAAGTCTGGAAAGCCACTTCTGCATGTAAAAGAAAATTACCCAGTTAATTTAAAGAAAACAAGCCACTAATTTTCATTTATTTATTTATTTATTTATTTATTTTATTAATTTACTTATTTCTAAATGATAAAAGCTGCTGCAGGTCAGCCAGCAGCAAATGCCTGGCAGAGCCCTGGAGTCACAGCCCTGTCACAGCCCTGTCACAGTCATTGTCACAGGCAGCAGCCACGGTGGGAGCTGCCTCTGGAGCTGCCCAAGAGTGACATCAGGGCCACACTCTGCAGCTCAGAGCTGCACTTTGCAGGCTGAGGGTGCCCTCCTATGGGGCTCCTGCTCCTTCACAGCCACCCTTGCCCACCGGATGGCTCCTTGTCCCCAAGCAGCTCCTGCTGCCATGGGCTCCTTTGGGGACAGCTGCTGTGTCCTGCCTGTGCCTGGGGCTCAGTCCCCACCATCTGCTGCCAGCACAGGAAAAGGCAAAACCTGGTCCCTGCCCTGGCCCTGGTGCTGCTTCTCATACAAATAATCAGAATTACTGAGCACAGGGTTTCCCATGGGAGCAAAATGCTGATTGTGGCCAGTTGCAAGCTGGGGCAGGACCTGCTGAGGGGTCAAGCTGATCCCTCTGCTATTTGGGGCCTTTCGTGTGCTGAGTTTCTCACCACCGGCTGTGTTTTAAGGTCCCTGGAGTTCAGAGATTTCCTGAAGAAGGCGCTGGACAAGAACCCAGAGACCCGGCCCAGTGCTGCCCAGCTGCTGGAGGTAGGGACAGACCAGTGACCCCAGACTGGATTCTGATTATTTCTGTCTTGTTTAGAAAGTTCATAGCACTTTTCAGCCATTAAAACTGTCCAAAATGGACCAGCAATGTTTTTCCCTTTGGAGCAACCTGCAGAGCCCCTGTGGACACCGTGTGGAGCAGAAGCAGCTCCTGTAAACATCCCTGTGGCAGCCAGCTTGGGCTGTTAGCCCTGTTTGAAACTCAATTCCTTTCCTCCTGTCCCTTCCCAAAATCACAGCAAAACTGGAAGCTGCTGTGAGCAGTGTGTTCCCACTGTGAGCACTGAGTGATTCCAGCCCCATTCCAATTTAACCCCCCCCAAGCTCTCTTTGTCCCAGGGATCCTGCCCTGCTCCTGGTGACATTCTGTGGGCAGATGTCCCTTGTCTAAATCCCACTGCTGCTTTTTTGGGGGGGGAATTGCTGCCATAAAGCAGCTTTGGGGAGCACCTGATGTTCAGTGTGCCCTGAACCTCACCCCAGTTCTCTCCTGTGAATTCCTCTGGGGGTAAATCCCAGTGACACTGCAAGGAACCACCCCCTCAGTCTCTGAAAGCCTGAAGTCCTCCTTGGGCTCACAGGGTGTGACTTTGGCCAGCTGACACTTTCCCTGTGCTTGGTTTTCAGCATCCCTTTGTCAGCAAGGTCACCAGCAACAGGGCCCTGCGGGAGCTGGTGGCCGAGGCCAAGGCTGAGGTGATGGAGGAGATCGAGGACAGCCGGGATGAAGCAGAGGAGGATGACTCCTCCGAGTCTGCCTCGGTGAGCAGCTGCACTGCCGTGGTTGTTCTGAGGGAAAGAACCTGGTGCTTTTTTCACCTTCCAAAAACTGGTTTGGGTCACATCAGGTGGAGGGGAAGTGGTTGATCAGCCAGGGAGGGGCTGGGTTGTGGTGGCTGCCAAGGGCATGGAGAAATAATGGTGCTGGGGGTGGCCCAGTGCCCACTCATAGGAGGGGCTCTGAAAAGTGGTTAACAAACAAAAGGAAAAGGGAAGTAAGCCCTGATGCAGGCTGGAGAAACTGGAGGGGAAGCAAAGGCAGCAGCACGTGGAGGGAACTGGGCAGATCTGCCCCTGGGCTTGGCTCTTTGCAGGGGACATCTCAGAGCTGCTTGGGGACACATCTCAGCCTCCCTCCTCTGTCACAAAGGGAAGTTGGCTCCTCCACAGTGGTGTTAGCCATGGGAAAAGGAGTTTGATGTGCAAATTCCTCATCTGCCTCTTAAGGATGTGCAGGTTCTGGGGCTTTTTCATTGCTCCTCTTCCTTCCCCCCAGGATCCTTGGGGCCACAAACCTGGGGCAGGATGGAAGCATCCCAGGGCAGACATCCTAAAAGGGACATTCCCTCCCAGTGCAGTTCAGGGTGACCTTGCTGTGCCATGTAGCCCTCACAGCTGTGTTGAGTGGTGGTGCCAAACACAACATCTGCCCTTGCCTGTCTTTGCAGCCCCCTGGGAAGCACAAGAGGGACTCCTCTGAGGTGAGCCAGCTGAGCTTTGATGGGGAGAAACCTCCAGACTCATCCTTGCCCAAAGCCCTCAACGGCTCCATGGGCACTGGCAGGGACACCACAGAGAGCCAGAGCCACAAAGCCTCAGACAAAGGGGTGAGCAGTGACAAACTGGAGAGCAACCACTCCACAAAACCCAGATCGGCCCCCTCAGCCACCCAGGACAAGCCAGACATCATCCTGCAGCCAGGACACTTGGGAAACTCAACGGAGGGGAACAAGGAGCCCAGGCCTGGCAGGGAGCAGAGGAAGAGCCTTGGGGAGAGGAAGAGCATCGGGGAGGGGAAGAACATCGAGGAGAGGAAGAGCATTGAAGAGAAGAAGAGCATTGAAGAGAGGAAGAGCATCGGGGAGGGGAAGAGCCTTGAGGAGAGGAAGAGCCTTGAGGAGAGGAAGAGCCTTGGAGAGAGGAAGAGCATGGGGGAGAGGAAGAGCATGGGGGAGAGGAAGAGCATGGTGGAGCGACCAGAGAGTGTTTTCCTGGAGAACTTCAGCGAGGAGAAGCTGGCCAATGGAAGCCTGGAGCCCCTGGGGCCATTCCCCCGCTCCAAAAGGGACTCGGACTCCGGCAGCACTTCGGCCTCCGAGAGCATGGACCTCACCATCTCCCTGTCTGCTGACCTGTCCCTCAACAGGGAGAGCGGCTCCATCTCCCTCAAGGTGAGAGTGCTGCCAGCGGGTGCTGGAGAGGGTGCAGGAGGGAGGAACCCTTCCCCAGGGAAAGCTCTCCAGGGTTTGTTTCCACGCTGCCTGTCCCAGCTGGGCTCAGGCCAGCACAGCATCCACAGCTGGGCTGAGCTGTGCCAGGGGCATGTGGCACGTCCTCAGGTGAAGGAGAAGCTCTTGGTGGAGCTGCTGAAGGTTCATGTGTCCTCTTCTGTGCCAGGCCACTGAAATCTAGGGGAAGTCTGATGTCTTGGGTCTATTTTGTGTGCAGTAACCACGCCATGATCCTGACTTGTCCTTGCTCAAGGGTGAAACCCCAAATGGGGCTCCCTAAACTTTATCCATAGTGCATCACTCTGCTGCTCTTCCTCGGCACTCCTGATCCCAGGGAAAAGCTCATCTGGGCTTGTGCCTCTCAGTTTTCCCAACATCTGACCTGGTTTGTGTCAGCAGGCACTGTACAAAGACCTCCCAGGCTTCTTGGCTTTTGCTAAAGCTTCCTGGAGGCTGGGAATGCTTGACCTGGAGCTGCCCAGGCCAGCAAGGCTTCGAGGAAGAGGCAAAATAACTGGAATGGTATTTGCTGAGCTCTAGGAGAAGAAATGCTGTGTCTTGAGGGGGCAGAGGGAAGTGTTGCACAAGATCTTTGTCACGTTGCCCCCATGAGTGAGAAGTTCCCGGCACAGAAACGTGCCTGAAAACCTTTCTTGGCAAAACCTTCCCCACCTCCTGCTGGGAGCTGGAGAGCCAGCATCCCCCAGAGCCGCCTGCAATCCCTAATGACTGGAAATGTGATGCTCTTGCACAGGAATTTCCTCCTCCTCCTTTCCAGCACACCTGGAATCCTTGAAGAGGATGCCACACAGAAATTTGCTCTCTGAGTTGGTCCTTTTGAAGGGGAAAGGAGATTTTTTGGGTTTTTCAGTGGGTAAACCACGTGAGAAAGGTGAGGAAGGGTCTTTGGGACGTGGGTCAGGTTTCTTCAGGGTGGAAGTCCTGCTGCTCCATGGTTTGGTAGCCAGGCTGGATCTCCAAACTCACCGATGGTTTGTGCTCCGTGTTGTTCTTATGTATGTTCCTCATGAATAACAGAGCGCTAGAATTGCTCTGAGGGCTCCAGTGCAGCTCTGAGGGCTCCAGTGCAGCTCTTGCAGCCCTGGGGAGCTGCTTCAGGGCCTCCTCTCCCCCTGCCACCCCAGGACTCGCGGCTGCAGAAGAAGACCCTGAAGCGCACCCGCAAGTTCGTGGTGGACGGCGTGGAGGTGAGCGTCACCACCTCCAAGATTATCAGCGAGGACGAGAAGAAGGATGAAGAAATGAGGTTCCTCAGGCAAGTGGGGCACTGGGATGGGGGCAGAGCAGGGTTTCCTCTCTGTGAGCTAATCCGGCTGAAGTCCTCTTTGTTGTCTTGGTCCCACTTGGGCAGGGGAAGGAGGGATTCAGCTCAAGATGCAGCAAGGCTGTGACAAGGGGAGGTTTGTTGTGGCTGGCTCTGTCCTCTGGGGATGACTGAATGTGTCCCCAGGGCTGCAGATGCCTGGCTCAGTGGAAATTAGCTGGGAAATCTTCTCAAGATGTTCCTCTCCCTTTTGTTCTCAAATCTCCTCAGACTTCATTAACAGAATGGCCAAGGGAGTTGTAAACTCCTGGAGCGTTATTTAATATTCATGGGTGTATCCTCCCTGCTTGATGACTCCTTTGCAGATCTTGCAGCTTTCAAATCTCCCTGACTTATCCTCAGAAAGAGGCGCTGCTGTTTCTAGCACTGAAATGAAAAGGCCCTTAAAATAATTAAAATACAAATTGTTTCATTTGATGCCCAATTCCAGGCTCCCTTGTACTGCTCTCGGGGACTTCCTGAGAGGATAATTTGTCCTAAACACTGTGTCCCTGTGGCTGCCTTATTCCTCAGCCCCAAGATCAGGTTTATGTAAAAGCTCATTAGCAGAGCTCATTTACTGAGGTGCTTTTGGGTGGTTCCTGAGGTGCTTTTGGGTGAGCTGGATGAGGGGAGGGATGCAATGTCATCATAGATGGGTCAGAATTTGGGAAAACTGCCTTTTTTTCCACCCAAGTATGAATAAGAATGGATACAGAGCCCAGAGGCCAGGCCAGAACAGTCCAGCTTGGGATTTGAGGAGCAGTGAGCACTAACCCAGCTGGCACAATGGGTATTTGAGGGACACCAGTGCCTGCAGAACCTCCTCAGGAGCCTTGCCAGGGCTTGTTTGGGAAGCTGTGAATGCTAAAGGCCCTTACCTGTGGGAACTGGTGGTTTTCCAGCAGTTCCCATGAGCAGCATCCTGCTCCCTGCAGTGTCCCAGAGCCTAGAGCACATCAGGCAGCTGGGATGTCCCTCCTGCCAGTGCTCAGAGCATCTCAGGGTACTCAAAGCTGTGGGCTGCAGCTTCCACTCCCTGCTGAAGCACTCTGCTCGTGGATGTGCCCATCTCTTCCCATGACACCCCTCTGACCCTGCACCTCTGTGTGCCCCTGCCCACCGTGCCCCTCTGCAGGCGCCAGGAGCTGCGGGAGCTGCGTCTGCTGCAGAAGGAGGAGCACAGGAACCAGGCCCAGCTGAACAGCAAGCACCAGCTGCAGCAGGAGCAGATGCTGCGGCGCTTCGAGCAGGAGATGATGGTAGGAGGGCAGGGAAACCCTGGGGATCAGCTGGGAACCCAACTCAGGGATAATCTCTGGGTTGCAACAGCCTTGAGCATCATAGGAACACCTTTGGGATGTGAAGCATGGATGGAGGACGGAGGTTTTGTGGGCATTAAGCACCCAAGGCTGTTGGGATGTGAAGCATGGATGGAGGACGGAGGTTTTGTAGGCATTAAGCACCCTGGGAAGCACTAGCAGCCTCTGCCTGGCGGGGTGTAGCAGGGAAAGGGTTGTTCTGGACTTTCTCTCTTTAATGATCTTTTCTTTGATGTCTCTTCACGGCTACTGTGAGAAACAGTTTATAGTGCTGTTGTAATTCACAGGGAAAAAAAAACTTTAAATAAGAAAGCAGCACGGCCTGAGTGTGACAGCAGGAAATCTGGCAAGGCTGTGAGTGTAAATTGAATAAACTGGCCTCACACATTTGGTCCCTTCTGTTGAAGTAAAATAATATTGTAGCTAACCACACAATGGTGTGGGTTGGAAGGGACCTTAAAAATCTTCTCCTTCCATGGCACGGGGACAGTGTTGGAGCACAGAGCTCCAGACGTTGTGAGGGGCTGGTTGGAAGCTTCCCTCCTCTGTGAAGAAGCTCAATGTGCTCCAAACGTGAGGGGTTGGTTGGAAGTTTCCCTGCTCTGTAAAGAGGCTCAATGTTGGGGCATAAAGCTCCAAATGTTGTGAGATGCTGGTTGGAAGTTTCTCTGCTCTGTAAAGAGGCTCAGTGTTGGAGCAGCTCAGTGTCAGAGCACAGAGTTGCCAACGTTGTGAGATGTTGGTTGGAAGTTTCCCTCCTCTCTAAAGAGGCTCAATGTGCTCTAAACCTTGTGAGGTGCCTGGTTGGAAGTTTCCCTCCTCTCTAAAGAGGCTCAACCCAAGCAGGAACAACCCCCCGCACCCTTTTATTTTTCTGTTTTCACTTTTCTTTTTAACCTTTTGGAACGCAACGAAGCCGGAACCCTAACCCTAACCCTCACCTTTCCTGGGCAGGCCAAGAAGAAGTTCTACGACACGGAGCTGGAGAACCTGGAGAGGCAGCAGAAGCAGCAGATCGAGAGGATGGAGCAGGAGCACGGGCTGCGGCGGCGCGAGGAGGCCAAGCGCATCCGCCTGGAGCAGGAGCGCGACCACGCGCGCTTCCTCGAGCAGCTCAAGCAGATGAAGAAGGAGGTGAAAATCTGGGGGGGGAGGGAGGGAAGGTGATGTCCTGCAGTTCTTTCTTCTTGGGAAGTTCGGCATTTCTGGTGGCAGAACTTAAGAGGAAAGCAGTTGGTGGTTTATGAGGAAAGTGTTGATTTTGGGTGGTTCCTGGGGTGGTTTTGGGTGATTTCTGAGGTGGTTTTGGGTGATTCCTGAGGTGCTCTTGGGTGATTCTTGGGAGCCTTTTGGATGATTCCTGAAGTGCTTTTGGGTGATTCCTGAGGTGCTTTTGGGTGGTTCCTTTTCCTGCTCTGCCTGCAGCAGGAGCATGACCACATGCGCTTCCTCGAGCAGCTCAAGCAGATGAAGAAGGAGGTGAAGATTGGGGATGGGAGGGAGGGAAGGTGATGTCCTGCACCTCTTTCTTCCTGGGAAGTTCAGCATTTCTCGTGGCAGAACTTGAGAGGGAAGCAGTTGGTGTTTTATGAGGAAAGTTCTGCTTTTGGGTGGTTCCTTACATGGTTTTTGGGTGATTCTTGAGAGTCTTTTGGGCGATTCCTGAGGTGCTTTTGGGTGATTCCTGAGAGCCTTTTGGGTGATTCCTGAGCTGTTCAGTGACTGGAGGTAGGGTTGTTCCTGGCCTGAAGTGCCCTGCGGGGAAATTTAATTTCCTCCCCACAGGTGAAGAACGAGGTTGAGAAGCTGCCACGGCAGCAGCGCAAAGGGAACCTGAAGGCGAAGATGGACGACTTCACCCAGAAAAAACAAACCATGGTGAGACTCAGGGAACATCCCCCCAGCCCCAAGACTGGGAAATGTGCAGCAGAATAAAGCATCCTTCCTGCTGCAGGGACCGGCAGGTTCTGCAACACCAGCAGCTGCTTCCCAAGCTGCAGCAGAGGGAGAGCTCATGGTGGCACTGCTGGTTTGTTAACAGGAACAGGAGTTTTTGGCCAAGCAGAAGGAGGACCTGGAGCAGGCCATGAAGAACATCATTGCCCAGAACAAAAGAGAGATCTGTGACAAGGAGCGTGAGTGCCTCAACAAGAAGCAGCAGCTGATGAGAGGTGGGTGGCAAAGGCTGGGAGGGAGTGCTGCAGCCATGGCTTTATCCAGCCCTGGCTCTTCCCACGCAGCAGATGCTGTGACAGAGCTGCAAGCTGCCAGGATGGGATGTGGAAAAAACCAGCTTTGCCAGGTCCTGTCTAAATGTTTAACAATAATAATACTTAGTGCTTTAATCTTCAAAGTGCTTTACAAATATGAACCAATTAGGCCTCATAATTGCGAGAAATCAGGTTCCAATATGGTTTGCAACCAATTTCTCATGGAAAACAGGAGATGAATGGTCACCCCCAACATCTGCTGTGCTGTTGGTGTGCACAGAGGTCTCTCGAGCTTGGGACACTTTGTGTGACCAGGATGGGAGGCCAGGGTGGGTGATCTCCTGCTCCTGCTCCTCCCCACAGACAGGGAAGCTTCCATCTGGGATCTGGAGGAGCGTCAGCAGCAGGAGAAGCACCAGCTCATCAAGCAGCAGCTGAAGGACCAGTATTTCCTCCAGAGGCACGAGCTGCTCAGGAAGCACGAGAAGGTGAAGGATTTACACCCTCCCATGCTGGCGTGGGCCAGCAAAGTGTCCAGGTGTCCTTGGGCGCTTCCCTTCCAGGATGAAAGGGGGGAAATCACCAAGGCTGTGTGTTCAGTCCCTATATGGGCCATTCAGTTAAGAGCTGGCCTCAATCCTTGTGGGTCCCTTCCAACCGAGAATATTCTGTAATTCTAAGGGTGGGTTGGGAGTTAAAGGGCTTGGTGATTATTAATGAAAAGGGACCAGAGTACAGCTGGTGTCAAGAAGGCAATGAAGCCTTCTTGCCTGGGACATGTGCTCTATGCTGTGTGCATTTAACGTGCAAGAAGTTGCGAATTCTGGGGGGAAATTTTCCCCCCCAGAAAAATTTTCTGGAAATCTGCCACTGCCCAGGATTTGACATGGTTGATTCCCAGAGCATGGAGTGAAGACTGGCACTTCAGCCTTTCTCCTCTGCTATCCCAGCATGTTCATCCCCTCTTATCCCTCTGGAGTGTCACCAGCCAGCTCCAGGCTACTCCCAAATGTGCCCTCCAGCTGTCCCCGTTCTGCTCAGGGCTCTGGGGAGGCGTCCCTCCCTCTGAGCCCCGTGTGCCTGCAGGAGAGGGAGCAGATGCAGCGCTACAACCAGCGCATGCTGGAGCAGCTGAAGGTGAGGCAGCAGCAGGAGAAGGCCCGGCTGCCCAAGATCCAGCGCAGCGAGGGCAAGACCCGCATGGCCATGTACAAGAAGAGCCTCCACATCCACTCCAGCGGCACCGCCTCCGAGCAGAGGGAGAAGATCAAACAGGTCAGGGCCTGAAGAGGCACCAGGAGATGAGGCTTGGCTTGGTGTGGGGGGAGAAAGCTGCATTTTCCGAAATTGCTGTTTCCATATTCTAACTTACTGCTGGGTTGGAGGGCTCTGTTTTGTGGTGTTGTGTGTGGTTTTCAGCGCTGCCTCCATCGTGACAAAGCAACACAAATTCCTCCTTTGCTGTGCAATAATGGAAGCTGGGCTGGTCTCTCAGGCAGCCCCAGAGGCCAGGGCAATGCTGCCTACATGGGCACCTGCTTTTCTGTCTTCCAGTTTGCCCTGCAGGAGGAGAAGAGGCAGAAGGCAGAGCGGCTGCACCAGCAGCAGAAGCACGAGTCGCAGATGAAGGACATGCAGGCCCAGTGTGAGAGCAACACCAACGAGCTCCAGCACCTCCAGGTACTCATCCCTCGTGGCATGGGCTGCCAGAGCTGCCTGTGCAGGGCTCAGCCTCTGCAGAAGTGCCTGCAGAGGACTCTCAGAGGTTGATGTCCCCTTACTCTTGTCTTGAGAGGGTTTTGTTGCCGTTGTCTAAACGTGGAGCTCAAAGCTCTGAATGTCTCTGCCCAACACACTGGGTCTAAACATGGAGCTCAGAGCTCTGAATGTCTCTGCCCACAACAATTCCTGTTTGTAAGAAATAGATGTGACTAAAGCTGATAAGCCAAGAAACACTTATAATGTATTACAATTAAGAAATAATTAGCTTCTGATTGTAATAGCATGAATTATAACATCTGCATTGTCTCACCCTTCACATGAGACTGGAAATGGAATAAAAGTTTTTAAAACACCTCTGTTACCCCATCTCCTAGTCAGAAAAGAGCTTAACCCAACATTTGACCACTGGCTGTACAGTTCCAGCTGCTGATGGCTGTTGTGTTTGCTGATGTGTTTTTAGAACGAGAAGTGTCACCTCCTGATTGAGCATGAAACGCAGAAGCTGAAGTCCCTGGATGAGAACCACAACCAGCACATGAAGGAGTGGAGGGACAAGCTGAGACCACGGAAGAAGGTGGGGCTGTGAGCAGGGTGTCCTGGCTGGCTGGAGGGGACAGTGCCCCCCCATAGCTCCAGAACCATCTCAAACCCCGTTCTTGTGTTGTTCTCTTTGCTCAAGGCCCTGGAGGATGAGCTGAACCAGAAGAAGCGTGAGCAGGAGATGTTCTTCAAGCTGAGTGAGGAGGCCGATGGACAGGTGCCAGTGTCGCCAACCAAACACGCCAAGTTCATCCCCTTCAGCTCCTCAGAGAGCTTGTAACACCTGGCAGGCCACCAGCTGGGACTGGCCGTGTCCTCCTGGGCTGCAGGGACAGCTTGGACTGGGAAGAGCCTCTCACAGCCCCTTGTCACCTCAGCCTGGGATAAACGTGGCCTCTGCACTGAGGGACCCTGGCTGGAACTTGGGGTGGCTCTCCCAGGAGCTCCAGGCTGGGAATTGGGGCAGGAGCCTCTCTGGATTGCACTTGCACTGATGGCTGGATGCTTTTGGGGTGAGCCTGGTGCTCACTGGGTTTGTCAGCTCAGGCTGCAGCAGTGCCCACTCTGATCAGGGGACACAGCCCCTGGGGCAGGGTTGTCACCTCCCTCTGCACCCTGGCTGCTCCTGTCCCTGTCCTTTGTACGGCCTGCCCTGGGGCACAGCAGCTCTGGCATTGTCTTAAACTCACCTTGGCCTTAGACTTACCCCTCTCCACCATGGCCCTTTTATTGCCACAGAGGGACAGAGATTTGGGGTTTTTTGCCTTGGGAGGGCTGGGTTTTTTCTTTCCACACAGCCTGTGCAGAAAGGGGCTGGGTGTCCTCCCAAAGATGCTCCTGCTCTTCCTTTGCTGTGACCAGTGGTACCACAGCCCCTCTGGCACTAACTGTGCTATCAGAGCCTGGTCTGGGCTGGTTGCACTGCCCAGCTGTAGGTTCTGAGGCAATGCAGGTGCAGAGGGGACACTGGGGACAGCTCAGTCCTGCGGTGACACAGTGACTGTCACTGCCATGTGCCTTGGGGATGAATGGGGTGAAGGCTGTTACAGCCAGAGCTCTCACATCACACAGCTGCTTGAGGCTGGATTTTCAGTCTTTCCTGTGTGGGGCCCTGTGGGTGAGGCAGAGGGTGCTGCCTGCACAGCATCACTGGGGAGGAGCAGTGGGACAAGGGAAGAGGAGATGCAAACTGGGCTTGTTGCTCCCAGCACCTCCTTGTCCACGGATGTCTCGTCTCCCTGTGATGTGCCACAGCTTTTTGGGTGTTTCTCCTGGCTGGGAGTCGTGGCAGAGGGGCAGAGCAGGTCCTCTGTCCTTTCTGTCCCCTCCTGGGGCACAAGGCAGGGCTTGGCTGAGCTTGGGTGGCACTGGGAGCACAGAGCTGGGGAGGGCTCAGGGACCTCACTGGCAGCACCTTCTTCTTTACACAACCCAAAGGTGTAAGGCAGCACTTAAGTATTTTTTTCTGGACAACAATGTTCGTTTTAGACCTGTTTCTTTAGCAAGAAAAAAATATTCCTGCTTAAAAAAAAAAGAGAAAGAAAATATAAGAAAAAAGTTGTTTTTTCAAGTCCCCTCTGTTGATTCACTGACATTTCAGGGAAAGGTGGTATGTGATGTGCCTCACTTCTGGGTACTGGGCTGAAGGAGGCTTTAACTCCAGGTCTTTAACTCTGGATCTGAGGGTTCATTTCCTACCCTTTTAGAGCCCCTAATCCATATTTATAAGCTTCCTGCAGGCTGGCAAGGCTCTGTCGCTTTGGGCCATCCCAGGTTACCTCTGATTTCACAGCAGTCATGTCTCTGTGAGTGAACACAGGAAGGGTTCCTGCCCCACCTCCAAAATATGGATTGCACCTTCCAGATGTGCTAACACCTGGCTGGGAGCTGATGGAAGGTTAATGAACACCAAGGGATGTTCCTAAATGGGACAAGGGCTGTCTGGAGATTGTATTCTGTATTCTCTCCCTGGGTGTGCCAGGCTCCAGTACCTGTCTCTCACCTAGAAGGGGGGCACATCATCTGCTGTCATGTTTACAGCATGGTTATCATTTTCTCTCCTTCTAAAAATGGATTTTTTTTGTTGTTCCTGTTCAAAAGGAACCACAATTAAACCCAGCTTGCTTTTCAGGGAGGGGATGGGACACGATTTTAAAAATTGTGGCTTCGAATAAAAAGGGGTTTTTTTTAATATTTTGTAAAATATCTTCAGTGGGGCCACCACCATGATGTAAAAACTTCTCTAATAAAGTAACAAACTGAGAAACCTGGGCATGGGTCTGATTTTGTGCCTGCTTGCCAGCTGTGACCTCAGCTCAGCTTTGCTTCTGCTCTGGGTTTTGCTGACTGGGAAAAACTTCTGGCATTTGAACTCTGCAAGGCTGATAAAGGCAAGCTGGAGCCTCTGCTGCTGGGTGAGTTCAGTGCAGGCTCAGATGGTGCTGGGCTGACACTGCTCGGTGAGCAGTGGGTACTGCACCGAGAGCAAAGCACTTCTGCAGGGTCCTTTTCCTTTTAATTAACGGGAATCTCACACAAACCCTTCAATTCCTTTCAGTTCCCTTCAGTTCTCCCAAGGAGATGCCTCCCTGTCCCTCCCCATGCTCTCCTCTGCTCAGGAAGGGAAAAAAATTCATTTTCTCCTGGGAAGCTGAGAAGCCCCAGAGAGGAATGAAAACCAAAATTATCTGATTGCTGCTCCTGTGTTTGCTGCTCTGGAATGTGGCTTGGACATTTTTTACCCACAGGTGAATGTTTGATTGGTTCCATGTGAATTGTTTTTAATTAGTGACCAATCATGGTCCAGCTGTGGAGAGGCTCTGAGGAGTAATGGGTTTTTATTATTCATTCTTGTTAAAGCCTTTTGATGTATTCTTTCTCTTTCTTTAGTATACTTTTAGTATAGCATAATATAATATGATTTATGATATATAATATATAACATAAGATCTGATATGGTGATTATGATATAATATAATGTAATATAATATAATATAATATAATATAATATAATATAATATAATATAATATAATATAATAATCAGCCTTCAGAGGACCTGGAGTCAGATTCTCATCCCTCACCTCGTCCTGGGGACCCTCACAAACACCACACCCTTTGTTCCCTGCTCACAACTTTTATCCTGCTGCTTCCATTGACTCCTCCCAAGGAATTCACATTGAATTAGGGCAGCCCATGGAGCTGCTGTGGGTTTACCATCAGTTTTGGAAGGCTGGCCAGGAGCTGCCAATTCAACCTTGGATTTTCTGCAGGAAATGGCCTTGCTGTCAGTGCCCACCCCAGGTAAGTGCAGCACCTGAGTTCAGGTGAGGTGCTGAAAATGAGATGGAATTGGGAGTGTGAGGTGGTGCTGGTGAGGTTTTAAATGAGCAGAGAGAGGGATGAGCAGAGCCTGAGGGTTCCTGTCTCCTTGCTCCAGAGGATGGTAAGGAATGGAGTAGCTGAGGACACATAATTAATCATTTTGTTTATGCATAGCAGGACTGCAGTGGTCTCAGTGTATCCCAGGGAAGCAGGAGATCTCCTGGGAATATTTAACTTCATCTGCATGTCCTTGGCAGTGCCTGAGGGGAGCTTCAACCACGAGGATTTAACACATATATAAGTATATATATATAAAGTACTGTATATTCCAGAAATAACTGCTAACTACCATTTCCTCCGGGTGCTAGGCTGAAAACAGAGCGAAAGTAAAAATATTTCTTCATTTTTCAAACCAGAGCTGACAGCCCTGAGCAGCTCCTGGTGCTGCAGCAGCTGCAGCATCCCCTGTGGGTCAGCTCCTGTCACATCTGGCCTCCAAACCCCTCTGGGCTGCCCAAGGGCTTTGGCAGCTCCTGGTGCTGGAACTGTCTGGGGGAAGAAAAGCAGGGCAGGCAGGGAGGGTCTGGGGGTTGTGCCTCAGTGCTCTCCTCCCACAGCTCCATCCCTGCTGCCCTGGTCTCTGCAGGGCTCCTTGAGAGTCCTCTGGAGCCAAATGCTGCTCCAGTGGCCAGTGGAGTTTATTCTCCAAATAAACCCCACCCAGCCTGAGCAGTCCAAGCCCCCCTGGAGGTGCTGGCCCTGCCTTGCTGCTGGTGTTTGCTCTCCTGGCTGGATGGGGATGGGTTTTGAGGGTATTTTGTCCTGGCAGCCCATCCTGAACTGCTGCAGACCTGATTCCAGGCTGGCAGGAGCTGGATGCTCGCTGCTCTTCCTCTCCTTCTCTTCCTCTCGCTGCTCTTCCTCTCGCTCACTAGATGGCATCACCCTGGAGCTCCTGAAGGGCTCTCCAGCTCTTTCCCTGCATTTGGCACTCTGTGACATCCCTTCCACCAGATCTCTGCCTCTCCTCGGGGTTTCAGTGCTTTTCCAGCCTGGTCCACGGGATTTTCACTGTGTTCCCCCATTTTAGAGGCTGAGCATCCCCTGTGTGGGTTTTGCTCTGCCTGGGCAGGATGGGTGCTGCTTGCTGCCAGCCTGGTTCTCATGGCTGGCACCTAAACCCTGCAATTCAGGGATCACAGCAGTGGAAAATCATTCCTGGTGACTGCTGAGAATCAGAGAGATCTGGACAAATGGAAAATCTCTGCTGGGCTGGGCTCCAGCTGCAGGGGTGTGTCCTCTGTGGGGGCAGGAGCATCATTTTGTGAGCTGATTTTGGTGAGCTGATTTTTGTGAGGTGATTCAGGGAGAATGGATGGATGCATTTGTTCTGTACACAGGGAGGACCAGGACATTCAGGCTCCTGGCACAATCTCCCATTTCTGAAGTGGCCAAGTGAGCAGCAGAGGCTCTCCATGCCAGGATGGCTCAGTCAGTGTTCCCTCTGCAGTCAGGGCTGATGGTGGGGCTCTGCCTTCTCATTCCATTCCACTGAGAGGAACAGCAGATTTGTCTTTCCAAACAAGCTCTGGGTCTGCTGGTGGATAAAACCAGCTCTGGGAGATAAAAGAAACAATGGGAAGGATTGCACTGATTGATGAATGGAAAAAGATATTTGCTTTTACAAATAAACTTTAAGTTTGCTGATAAATGAAATTAGGCATTGAGAGATGAAAGAAATAATGGGGAAGAAAAACCCCTAAATTCCATAAGAATTAAAAATTAAAAGGGAGGATGATACATCAGAGGGAGATCTTTGGGAAATCTCTGGTATTGGGCGTTTTGGGAAGTCTGAAGCTCTCAAGTACCTCAGCCCATGGGGAAAGAGAGAAGGGAAATGCAGCTGGGAAATTGGGATAAAAAGGGAGGCTGCATCCTCCAAAAATGTGAGAGATCCCAGGGGAATGCCCCATGGCCTCTCCCTCTATTGGAATAGAGTAAAAGGACTCCTCTGCCTCCTTTTTGGACATAAACCTCTGGTGTTTGTGGATTAATTTTCTTAACACCCCCTGACACCAGGGAGACCTCAGGGACTGCCCAGCTGTGCCCAAACAGCTGGAGCCCACTCACAGCTGTGCAGAAACCCATTTGTCCATTGGAGCTGAGGGATGGCTTTTCTGAAGTCGTTTGCCCTCTTGTTTTAAATTGCTCAGCTGATCCTGACAGGCACGAGGGAGAGTGCACAAGCCTGACTCTTGTGTAGGTCATGACCTCTCCTGTGTAGTTATTTCAGCACAGTTATTTTATTTTATTTGGCTTCAGGAAGCTTCAGCCTGTGGTGAGGGCAGCAGGGGATGAATGTTTACCCCGAGGCTCCCCAAGCTGCACCTGCAGCACCCAACATTTCTGTGGGACTTGCTGCTGCCACATCTCTGCTGCCCTGCAGCAGCATCCCCAGAGGTGTGGGTGAGCACAGGACTCCCAGGCCAGTCACAAACCCCTCATTTGGGCTCTCTTACAAAGCCTTGGCAGATTCCTTGAGGAATGACCAGGGCACAGCTCTGCCTCTCCACGGTTGATTCCCAGAGTATCTCCCAGGGGAGGTGATCTGGTCAGCATGCAGAGCCACTCCCCACTCCTCTCTACGGCCCTCATTAGACTTGTTAATTAAGCACAGGAGCCATTTTGCAGCCTGAGCTGAGATTCTCTCCAAGCCCTGCTGGTTCCTGGGTGCTCATTAGCTGTGAGGCTGCCAGGGCCCAGGAGTGATGGAATCCCTTCAGGGGAGAAGAAAATGCTGATACTGAAGTGCTTCTCTACCTTAATTCTTCTTTTCAGCATGTGAAGACCAGAAATTGTTTCATTCCTCTCTCAAACAGCTTTCTCCCTTGCTCCACATCTCAGTGTACACTCCCTCTCTTAGCAGCTGCTTTGGGTCTTTTCCCCTCCATCCTCTGGAGGATTTGTGCATTTCTGAAGGCTTTTAAACCGGTAAAACTTCCTCTGCTCCAGCCTGGACACTCCACACAACAGCAGGAGCTGCAGTTGCAGGTGTTGGTGCTGTCCCAGGCTCTTCATGAGCACTTCCAGTGCCAGCATCCCACAGGAATGTCACAGTGACAGAAGGAAGGGAGGATTCCACAGCTCATCCCCACTTCTCTCCAGGACACATCTGACTGAGCAGGGGTGACTGGGGCAGGAGTGGGGGTGATGTGCAGTGACCCAGTGCTGTGTCTGCACCCCAGCAGCCACCAGGGAGGTGACCAATGGCCTGGTGTCCCCTCCAGACAGCCCAGCCACCTCTGCAGGGGCTGGGGGCTTTGCTGACGGGGAGGAGGATGAAGACGAGCCCTTGGGGAGGGGCAATAAAGCCCTGGCAAAGTGCCTACACCTCCATTAATTCTCGGGGGTGGCTGCAGCAAAGTTAATGGTATTTAAAAAGAGCCACATTTAAGGAGCCGTGAAGGAGTGAGATGAGTTGTTTATGATTAAATTAAATTCATATCAAAACTAATGACCTGCCAGTGTAAGCCTTGAGTAACTTTATAATGTAATTAAAAGCCCAACGGGGGAGAGAGCTGTGGTTATGCCACGTGTTGAGGAGCTGCTGGGAACAGAGAGGCCACGGGTAAGTGCTGGAGCAGAGAAGGGCCTGGGCACTGCCCTGGCTGCTCTCCCGGCATAAGGGCACAGCTGGGCACAGGGGGGCTGCCAGGAGGAGCAGTGAGTGCAGGGGATCAGCTCCTGGCTCACAGGGATAGAATCATGGGCTGGTTCGGGCTGGAAGGGACCTTAAAGATCATCCCACTCCATGGGCAGCGACACCTTCCACTATCCCAGGTTGGTCCAGCCTGGCCTTGTACATTGCCAGGGATGGAACTTCCCTGGACAACCTGTGCCATGCCTCAACACGCTCACGGCGAAGAATTCCTTCCTGATATCTAATCTCAGCCTGCTCTGACTGGAGCCATTCCCTGCTCCTGTCACTGCACGCCCTTGTGAGCAGGTATGCGGCTTGTCCCGGGCAGGGCAGCTCTGACCTGAGCAGGACAGACCCTCCCTGCTCATTCCCTGCTCCTGGAGGGACGTGGCTGCTGCCGGCCAACCTGGGGGCACTGCTGGGATGGGACAACACAGAACCACCCCAGGCACTGCTGTGATGGGACAGGAGCAGAACCACCCCTGGGCATTGCTGTGATGGGACAAGAGGGGAACCATCCACGGGTACCGCTGTGATGGGACAACATCAGAACCACTCCAGGGCACAGCTGTGATGGGACAAGAGAGGAACCACGCTCAGGTAAGGGGGACAAACGGGACCCGTTCCCGGGAGGGGCACCGCGCTCTCCGAACCATCTCGCTGCGGCAGCACCGGGCCGGGCACGGAGCGGCCACCCCGGGCACGGAGCGGGCCGGCCGTCCCTTTAAGCGGGCGGCGGTGGGGCCGCCCCTCCGGCCGGGATAGGCCGGGCCGGGCCGGGGCCGCCTCCCGCCCCCGGAGCGGGCGGCGCGGGGAGGCTCGGCCGCGCTGCAGCCTCCGGTGCCGGCGGCGAGCGGCAGCGCGTCCCCGCTCCCCGAGGGGCTCGGCAGCGGCGATGCCCAGGCGCAGCATCGCCGAGGTGAAGGTGCTGGACGTGCAGAAGCGGCGCATCCCCAACAAGCACTATGTGAGTGCCCCGGCCCGGCCCCGGGCGAACAAAGGCCGGGCGCTGCCGGCCCCGCTCCCGCGCGGAGCTCCGGGAAGGGAGGACGGACGAGGAGGAGGAGGAGAAAGAGACAGAGGGCGGCAGCGCTGCCGGGGTGCCTCTCTGGGTGTGCCGGGGGTGCCTCTCTCGGCTGTGCCGGGGGGTCCCGCGGTGCCCCTGCCGGCCTGGGGATGCCCCCGGCCCGCGGGATGTCCGGGGATGCGGGCGGGGGTTGCGGCACCGGGCATCGGCCACGGGCACCGCGGGGAAGCGCCCCCGCTCCTGCAGCTGCCGCCGGGACCTGTTGGTCGCGGAGTCCCGGGGCAAAGGGACCACCCGGCTGCTGCTTTCGGTCCCTGGGTAGGGCTCCGTCCCTAGGAAGGATCCCTCGTGTCCCCTACCTTCCTCTGTGCTCCAAACTGTTGTGGGTTTGTCTGGTTTTGAAGATGGTTTTATTTTTTTTTCCTTTTTTTTTTTTTTTATGATTTAAACTTTGGTGTGTTTCCAGGCACACCCGTGGAGAGCTTGTGGGTGAATCCTGGCAAGAGCCTAAAACAAAGCCCGAAATGTTCGTCCCTCCCGTGTTGCCGTGGCCCGGGGTGACCCAGTGACACACTCACTGCTCGGGGCACATCTGGGCTGTGCAGATGTGCTCTTTGCTCTGGCTGCAGTCGGTTGCCACAAGGGCCAGGCTTTCAGAGCTCTGGGAAGATCGAGGGCTTCTCCAGCTCCCCTCGGCTGTTTCGTGGCATTGAGCAACAATTGGAGGAAAGCTGAGGGCAGGAGGCGAGGGCAGCGGGGTCTCTCCTCGCATCAGCGATGCGGCGTGGCCGCTGCCACCCACCCACCTCCCTTATCTCCCCTTCTTCCTGCTGCCCTGCCTAGAGCTTTGCCAGCCCTGGCAGCGCCTGGCTCGGGTTCCAGATGTGCGCTTTTCCTGCCATCGTGTCCATCGTGCCTTACTCATCGCTCCGGAGCCGTGCGGAGCTCTGTCCACCGCTGTTTGTCTTGGCGGATCCGGGGCTCGGCCGCCGTGTCCCGTGCCGAGCCGGGCTGGGCTGGCTGTGGGGTGGCTCTGCTGTCCCTGCCGTGCCCCTCGGAGCAGTGTCCCCGCGGTGCCGCGCACAGTCAGCGCTGTCCCCGCCTGTCGCGGCTGGAGTTGGGCAGGGCATAAATAATCCCTGCGAGGCTGCAAAACTGGGCCGGCGATGTTTGCTGAGCACAGAGCTGGATGGAGGGGCGGTGGGTGGGGATGGGGAGCAGGAGCGGTGACAGCTGTGAGCCCCAGCCTCTGCCTCCCCAGCCCATCCCAATCCCACCCCTGTGCTCCAGCCTCCCCAGTCCATCCCAATCCCATCCCTGTGCTCCAGCCTCCCCATCCCATCCCTGTGCTCCAGCCTTCCCCTGCTCCGGGCTCGGACCCAAAGGCAGCAGCGGGAGCCAGCGTGGCTGCTCAGGGCTGAGCAGGGAGGGGCCGGCAGCCTGCAGGCAGCGCTGGAGTCAATGGGAGCGCTCGCCTTGCCGGAGGAATCGATAGGCAGATTCACAAAGCCAGTTAATTATATGAAACCAAAGCGGTTTTTTTTTTTTCTTTCCTTTTTTTTTCTCCTGCAAAGAGAAAGAGAGGCAGCAAATCATGGCTGAATCATTTGTGGCTGCTGGCACAGTGTGAATGCAAGGCAAGCACCGAGTGTCTGTGTAAAACCTTTGCCCTCTGCCTTCTCCCATCACACAGATGTGCTCTGCCCCAGCCCTGAGACAGCTCTCCTGACCCTGGGGAGGCTGCAGGACCACGCTGCCTTTCCCTCCTGCTGCCTCTGTGATGACCTGCCCTGCTCGGGCTCCTCTGCACCAGCCAGAGGTTTCCCTTTGCTGGACAAAGCTGTGATTGTGCTGCTCAAGATGAGGCCACAGCACAAAGTTATGAATTCCACTTTCCCAGAAAAGTGAAATCAAAGTCCTTGTTGCACCTGCAGTGGGGAGGGCTGGCGCTATTCAGGCTGCTGTGGTTTGCCTTTCACCTGGGTAACTGATACTACAAGAATTGCAATGCCTGAGACAAAAAGTTTGTTGTTTTGCAGCTCTGCTGTGGAGCAGGATGCTCAGCATTTCCCCAAATTGCAGGGCAAGCACCAAGGTGCTGGGCAGGGTTTGGATAGCTGGGTACAGGTGCTGAGCTGAGTTAGGGCTCAGCACAGCCCTGTGCCCTCAAACTCCACTTGTGTTTTTAAGCTTTTCTTCATGGGCACCACCTGGCAGGGGCACTGAGGAGTGATCCTTGTGCAGGTGCTTGTTGCAGGATGCTCTGGCTCATTTTCCAAGGGAAAAGGGGACTCCATCCTCCAGGCAGTGCCTGAGGTGACATTTTCAGTACATTTCCCACCCAGTCCTGTGTGAAGTGATCCCAGCTCAGGGCTCCAGGGCCACCCTGCAAATCTGAGCAAAGTCCAAGAGGAAAGCTTAAAAATAATCATTGGGAGAGACAGAGGAGCAGACTGTCATTTCTCTGGTCTGGCCAAGTCTCTGATAAATGAATGTTTATTCAGAAAAGACCCAAAACAAAGCCATAGTAGAAACAGACTGGATTTTTCTTAAAGGACTCCACTCAGGACCTTTTTATAGTATTGTGTTTGTTATTCTCGAGCAGAAGCCCTAAAAGAAAGCTTTTTCCTACTAAATCCAGATTGGGTTTTCTTTCCTTTGGGCAGGCATCAGGATGTTTCATTTTGTTACAGCTGCAATGTGTGTGTTTTCTGTGTGTTAATAGCAATGCCATTGAATCCCAGCTCCATTTCTGCCTACCAGGAACATTTCCATAGTTATATAGGTTTAAATAGTTGTTCTAGAGCACCATCCAAAATTATATATATCCATCCAACAGCATGCTGTTGGGGTGGGTTAGATTTTTGGGAAAGCTGGGTCGTGTTCTCTCAGGACTTCCATGATCCATTTATCCCAGAAAATGGGGAATTTAAATAATATTTGCAGCATACATTTATTTTGAAAACCCAGTGAACAAGATGGCAAAACATTAAACAAGGTGAAGACCTCATTTGTGGCAGCTGGGTTGTGAAAGTAATTAACAGTGAGTGGTGGAATCTGGCTAATGGGACCTGCAGGTGTTTGAAAACAAATTTGAGGAGAACCACGTTCAGAAAGTGAAGGTGCTGTTATGTTTTTGATGTGGAATTTGTGATGTGGTGGTGTAGGTGTCCTCTCTGCTCCTGAGGCCATTTGTGGTTTCATTCCTCGTGTAGCCCAGCCCTGCTGTGCTTATCTGGAGCTGATTATGGAGTGTTTGAATGGCAAGAGGACAGAGCTGCCAATCCACAGCTTCTTTAGTGCCTTATATTTATCAGCTGAAGGTATTTCTGAGGAGCACGTGCCCCATGGGCTCTGTTTTGTGGTTCCAGCTGGAGCAGGGCTCGGTGGCCCTGGCACGGTGTCACCTTGAGCAGGCTGAGTTATTCTCCTGGATTTTGGGAGTTATTTCTGCCCTTGTGGATCATCCTGGTTGTTAGGGTGTCAGGGATGACTTTTCCCCGTGCTGTCTCATGGAAGGGTGACCATGCCCTTGGAATGTGGGAATGTCCTGTGGGCAGCTGAGAGAGGAAGGAGGCTGGCATGAGTAGTGTGAAATCTATGCAGTGTGCTGTCCCCAGATAACCAAACTAGGAGTGGGAGAGAGCCAGGGGAAGCTGCAGCCTGACTCCTGGTGGCCTCTAAAGCTTTGAGGGCTTTCTCAGCATCCTCACTGGTGGTTGGCTGCTGTATCCTGTGGTTGTGCCTTGTCTCATCCCATTTCCTGTCAGCTGGATGATGCTGTCCCAACAAGGCAGGGAATTTGGTAGGAATTTTGCCCTGTCCTTGTGCCTGACCCTGCTCTGCTCCAGATGTCACCAGGCTTTCCTCCTCACCTCTCAGCAGAGCTGAGCATGGAGCACTCTCATCTTTGTGGATAAAAACCAGCACTCAGACTCCAACTCTGCTTTGTTTTCCTTCCCCAGCCACGTTTCTCAAGGCTGTTGAAAAGCTTGAATGTGGAAGGGCCAAATCCTGCCTGGCCCCTGGCTGCTGTCAGGAGCAGCTATGTGAGGGAAGCTGATGCTCACGCTCAGTTCCAGTGGTGCTCACACTCAGTTCCAGTGATGCTCACACTCAGTGCCAGCTGATGCTCACACTCACTTCTAGCTGGTGCTCACACTCACTTCTAGCTGGTGCTCACACTCAGTTCCAGTGGTGCTCACACTCAGTTCCAGTGATGCTCACACTCAGTGCCAGCTGATGCTCACACTCACTTCTAGCTGGTGCTCACACTCACTTCTAGCTGGTGCTCACACTCAGTTCCAGTGGTGCTCACACTCAGTGCCAGCTGATGCTCACGCTCAGTGCCAGCTGATGCTCACGCTCAGGTCTGATGCTCACACTCAGTTCCAGCAGCTCTGGGGCCATCCCTGGCCTCTGCCTGCCCCCAGCTCTCTGACCTTGATCCCCCCAGCTTTGTTTGGAGGGTGTCTCTGTCTTCCTGTGGCAGTGGGGGACAGGAAACGGGCGAATCCATCTGTGTGACCTTCAGAGGGGCTGGGGCAGGCTGGCTGCATTGCTGTGTGCCTGAGGGCTCTGAGCAGCCTCTGCTGGGCTGTCCTTGGGGCTCCCAGCCTGGTGGCTGTGCCCCTGCCACCCCAGCAGTGCTGTGCCCTGCCAGGCTGTGCAGCAGCTGGGGGAAGAGGCTACAGAGCAAAAAATCCAAGGGATGAGCTGGGGAGAGGGGAGAGGAGGCTGCTCTGCAGTGCTGGCTGTGTGCTCGGGCTGCCTGGGCTGTGGTGAGGATGTGCTGCTGCACCCAGCCCTGTTACCCAGCTCTGCCTTGGTTAGTGGTGAGGATCTGCCGGCCCTGCTCCTCCAGCCAAGGCAGGGCTGGTAACAGGGCTGGTGCTGTGGATCTGCCTGCCCTGGTGTTCCAGCCCTGCCTTGGCTGTGCTGAGATTTTGCCTGCCCTTTTTCCAGCCCTGCCTTGCTGTTTCTGCCTCCCCTGTGCCACAGAGCCCAGGGCAGCATTGCTGGTGCCCTGCAGCAGCTGGAACACCTCCCCATGCCAGCCTGTCCCTCCTCCCAGCTCCCCAGGCACAGAGCAGGGGTGAGGGGGTCACCAGCTGTCTGCCCACCCAGCTGGGCCTTGGCTGTCCCTCTGCTGCCCCCAGCTTTGGCATCCCCTGTCCCCTCCCCAGCCCTGCAGCAGTGAGGGCTGATGGACAGGGGCCAAGCACAGCAGCAGCTTGATGCCAAGAACTTTCTTTGTTTCCAGCCACCTTTTTTTTTCTTTTTTTTTTTTCTCTTTTCCTCTTAGAATTTCCCACTCCATTTTCTATGTTAAACCCAGTCTGGCTTGGCTGCCTTGCTCAGCTCCTGTGGTTTCTCTGCCCCTTTGGGTTTCCAAAGGGAGGGTGAGGCTCTCATATCTCCCCTCATTTCAGGGTCACCACGTTTCAGCGTGGGTGAAATCAAAAGCCTGACGCCTTTGACTGATGCTTTTCCTCTTTGCTGCTGAAAGATGCTTTAAATATGTGCAGTTTTCCACAGAGAGGTTCATTGTGCAGAGTCCCCCTGGGCCTGAGACCACACAGGCTCTGAGCCTTTGGAAACAGCTCTGCAGACAGCTCAGCCCCCGCTGCAGGCTGCGGTGTCTGGAGCTGCTGCAGGAGCCCTGCTGGAGCCTGGGACCTTCCCTGGTGTCCCTGCACTGCCTGGAGGTGTCATCCCAAGGGACCATGGGGTTGCTGTGCCCCCTGCCCGTGTCTGTGTGGGGGAGCTCTGGGCACGGGGAAGCTCTGGGATCCTTCAGGGAAGGCCCTGAGCTGGTGCTGGGGTGGCCGAGCTGCTCTGGGATCCTTCAGGGAAGGCCCTGAGCTGGTGCTGGGATGGCTGAGCTGATGCTGGGGTGCCTGAGCTGCTCTGGGCGCAGGAGAGCTTTGAGATCCCTCAGGGAAGGCCCTGAGCTGATGCTGGGATGGCTGAGCTGCTCTGGGCTCAGGGAAGCTCTGGGATCCCTCAGGGAAGGCCCTGAGCTGGTGCTGGGGTGCCTGAGCTGCTCTGGGATCCTTCAGGGAAGGCCCTGAGCTGGTGCTGGGGTGCCTGAGCTGCTCTGGGATCCCTCAGGGAAGGCCCTGAGCTGGTGCTGGGGTGGCTGAGCTGCTCTGGGCTCCATCTGCATTCTGGATGCTGCTGAGTTTGGGCTGCACTCACTGCCTGGTGCCAGGCAGGGTTCCCAGGCTGCTGCCCCCTCTCCTTCCTTGTGGGGTTTTTGTGTCCCCCCCAGCCAGGACGCCGTGCAAATCTCCGTGAAAAGCTTTGGAAAACTCCTGTAGGAGGGGAGAGAAGCTGAAAGTGGAGCTCTGGGTTTTCCTCACCTTCACCCTGCCTTTTTCCTGCTCACATTTGAGCAGTCCAGGCTGCTCCCCAGCTTGTCCTGGTGTGTTTATGCAGGGAGTCCAGAAGTGATTCTGCTGCGAGGTCACACGGCCTCGTGTTCAAGAACGGGAAACTGGCTCTGTTATTTTATTTTTTATTTTTTTCTCAGTATCTGTTCTTAATTTCCTTGCCTCGAGTCAGCAGTTTGAATCAGCTCCTCACTCTCTCCCTGTGCTGTTGTGAGGGACTTTGGGCAGGGCAGGATGGAGGATTTGGGAATGGATCCTTGGTCCCTGAGGGCACTGGGAGTCACCAGGAGCCACTGCTGGGTGCAGCACCAGGGATTTCCAGCAGTCCCTGCAAAAACACTGCTGGGCTGGCTGCTCCCAGGGCTCTCTGCTTCATCTCTTCAAGAGGAAAAGAAAGAAAAAAAAATTAAATCTCTGGCTGCCCTTTCCAGATTCTCACTGGCTCCTCACCCCTCTGTCCCCGTGACTGCCGTGGCTCTGCTGGGTCTGAGCTGGCTCTGCAGCCTCCAGGAGCTCCCTCCCTGCCCTGGAGGGATGTCCTGGATCCCCCTGGCTCTCAGAGTGTTCCCCTGGGCTCCTCTGACAGCTCTGCTGTGCTTGGCCAGCTGCCACCTGCATTTCTTGCAGCAAGCTGTCACTTCCTGACGCTTCCCTTCCCTTCCAAAGGTTTTCAGCCCCATTTTCCAAGGGCTGTTCTCCCTCTGACAGAGGTGCTGGGGAGGGGACAGCAGTGACAGATGCTGGGTGGTGGTGGAGGGCACCAAGGGAAGGCTGCAGGATCCCCTGAGTGCAGTGCAATGCTCACGGGGTGAGTGCAGTGTTCAAACCTTCCCAAACCTGCACTTGTTAGGTGAGGGAGCACCACAGTTGTGTTTTCTGGTGTTTTGTTTTTTTTTTTTTTATTTCTGAGACAGCAGGGAGTGGATTAGATATTGGGAGAGACCAAGATCTGGGATGGGCTGTTGGAAAGATGAGGAATATCCACCAGCAGAGAGGCAGCTGGCTTTCCCCAGGTTTGATAGATGCTGAGGAGCTCCTGTTCCTGTGGTTCCCCCATCTTCTCTGCTGTCCATAAGCAGGTTAAGGAGAAACCCCTGGAGACCTTTCTGCTGCTGGAAGGGGATGTGCAAGGAACTCTTGTCTGAGCCCTGGGAGTTGTGCCTTTCAGCACAGCAGCAGAGAGCAGAAATTGCTGCAGAGGCCACGGGGGAGCCTGGGGTGCCCTCGTGCCTTCACTACCCTCAAGAGCTCTGAATGACTTTGGCTCCATCTGTCCACATCCTGATTAAAATCCCAGTCTAATGAGCTGTTGACTCCAAATAAAGGCAGGGTGGGAATAAACAATGAGGAGGAGCTGGCTGCTGCTGCTGCCCCAGTGGAAGGCTCAGTGCAGGCAGGCAGCCAGCAGTGATATAACCCGAGCAGGGCTGGGGACTGCTGACAAAACTGGGATACAGCTCAGCTCCCAGCCCACATGAGCTCATGCTGGCCCTGCAGCACGTCCTGGGCAGAGGGTAGAGGAGTTTGAACCTGTGTTAGCACCAGGTTAACCCCTAGTTTGCTGGGGGAGTGCTGCCTCCCTTGGAGCACGGCGTGGCCTCCACAGCTGGAGCAGATGTTGTCTTGGAGAATCCATCTGTGTTTATAGGGAGGAAATGAGGGTTCTTCATCTCAAAATAAGAGTTTGGAAGTGAAAGCAGAGCAGGGAATGGCTCCAGACTGAGGGACTGGGTTTAGGTGGGATATTGGGTGCGCAGGCCCTGGCACAGGGTGCCCTGGATCCCTGGCAGTGCCCAAGGCAGGTGTTTAATCACCCTGGGACAGTGGAAGGTGTCCCTGCCATGCCAGGGAGATCTTTAAGGTCCCTTCTAACCCAACCCAAATTCAACAAAAGTGGACCTTGAATTACTGGTTTGAAAGTAGGGAACTTCTTTATTTTAGCAGTAAGAATTTGATCCCTCTTTCTGCCTCGTTTTCTGCCCACTTTTCTGTGGAATTGATTGCTTGGGGAAGAGTTTGTCACCCTCAGGAGTGTCCCCACCTTGGTGGCTTAGGCTGTGCCAGCCTCTGAGCAGCAGGGTGAGATTTGAGGTGAGATTTTCAGTGCAGCATTTGAGTAGCTTTGATAAACTCAAATAACTGAGTGTTGTGCTGTCCTGGTATTTGAGTTTGGATACTGGTTTAGGATGTTGGTCACATTCCAGAATCTGGATAAATGGGCATCTCAGTGGGGAAAACCTTGTGAAACTCCTGAGGGATTCTCTTTTAAATACCAAAACAACATTTTAAGAGCATTGATGCTTGATTTTGCTGGCAGAAGTTCCAGTAGGTCCCTTCACCTGGGCTTCTGAACATCTTGGTCCTTCTTCAAGGAATTGATGCTTGAATTTCTGGTGGAAATAAGGACTTGAGTTAGGAGGGAAAAAAATACCCTGGGTTCTGTTCAGTCAATCTGTTATCAATTTGAGATTGGGTGTTACACTGGCACCTCACCAAGGGTTATCTCTGCTCTCTGTGAAACACAGAGGAGACATGAGATCAGTAATTGCCTCATTCTGTGATGTGCATGTTGTCCTTCACAGGAGAATTGGTGCTGAAATGGGCTGGGTTTGGTGCTTTGTGCTGAAATGGGCTGGGTTTGGTGTTTTGTTCTGAAATGGGCTGGGTTTGGTGCTTTGTGCTGGAATGGGCTGGGTTTGGTGTTTGGTGCTGAAATGGGCTGGGTTTGGTGTTTGGTGCTGAAATGGGCTGGGTTTGGTGCTTTGTGCTGGAATGGGCTGGGTTTGGTGTTTGGTGCTGAAATGGGCTGGGTTTGGTGTTTGGTGCTGAAATGGGCTGGGTTTGGTGTTTTGTTCTGAAATGGGCTGGGTTTGGTGTTTTGTTTTGTGCTGAAATGGGCTGGGTTTGGTGCTTTGTGCTGGAATGGGCTGGGTTTGGTGTTTTGTTTTGCATTCATCACCAGTTAGAGCCTGGTCCTGGGGGTCTGTGAATGACCTGCAGTGACTGGGGCTGGTCCTGTGGCATTTTAGGGATCAGGACACTGATTTCCACCCCTGCAGGTGTCAGAAACCCAAGCCCAAGCAGGTGGAGTTGCAGACCCCGGGGCTTTGGGCTGTTGCAGTCCCATTTGCAGCAGCCAGGCTGGTGCAGGTGCTGCTCTTGGGTCTCAGCATCAGCTCTGGTGCTGCAGTGTAAATGGGGTGCCCAGGGTTTAGTTTTAACTGGTTTTTTAGTGCTGTCTGGAGGGATTTGTGCTGTGTTTTTACACAGAATTGTCACTTCACACTCAAATGTCTGCCCCTCTCCAAGGCCACAGAGCTCAGTCCACCACCAGAAACAAACATTTGGTTAAGCTGCAGCTCAATCATTTCCCCTCACCTCTGTTGTGGTGTGGCTGAATCGATCTGAAGCATTCCCCTGCTCGTCACCCAGCTGTGGGGGGGCTGCACTGGCAGCTTTTGGGTTGTGGTGGGGCTTTTTGGGGGTTCCTCACGCTGATTTGTGCCTCTGTTCCCTGCAGGTGTACATCATCAAGGTCACCTGGTCCAATGGAGCCACCGAGGTCATTTACAGACGGTACAGCAAGTTCTTCGACCTGCAGGTGGGGAACCCTGGGGGGGTGACAGGAGGGATGGGATGGGGACAGGAGTGCTCTGGGGGTGACAGGAGTGCTGGGGATGCTCCTGGGCTCTACCTGGAGGGGATGAGAGTCTGGGATGGGGCAGATGCTGCTCTCAGGCCTGTCCCTGCCCTGCAGGACACCTGAGTGAGTGGCTGTGAGCACGCTGAGGTGACAGCTCAGCCTGGCTGGCCCTGCCCTGCTGTCACCCTGCCCTGGCAGTGCAGGGGTTAAAGCTGCGAGCAGCCGCCTGTGTAACCAAGGAAATATGAAAGTAAATAAATAAGGAACAGCTGTTGGGCAGCAGCCGGGGCTGGAAGGAAATGGAACTCGTGCTTCCTTCTCTGCAGCATCTCCTCTTCATGGTGCTCCGGGCTCATTCCTCTGGCTGGGGCACAGAATTTGGGGTGTCTGTGTTCCCAGACCCAGTTTGGGGTGTCTGTGCGCCCAGACCCCTTTGGGATGTCTGTGCTGGTTCCCTGGGCTGGGGAAGGGCTGTGGGGAATCCTGGCTGTGCCCCTCCATCCTGACTGGAGCTGTGCACAATCCTGGGGTGGAAAATGTCAGAACTGGAGTCAGGCACTCTGCAAAACACCTTTAGAAGCAGTTTATATTCTTTATAAATACATATAAATATGTATCGTGGTGGAGGTGGGAAAGTTTAAAGCAAACATCTCCTCCCTTTGCTGTTCCCTGCAGCTTTTTCTTTAAAAAAATGAAAAAAAAAATATTATAGCAGCCACTCCTTTTTGGCTCTGTTGAAAGAATGAAAGAAGCTGTGGTTTTTCCCTTCCTTCCCCCTTATCACACATGCTTCCTGGTGTCCTTGTTTTAAACTCGTGCTGCAGGGCAGTGCAAATTGGATTGGGAGGTGAGGAGTGAAACAGATCCTCTGAGCACACTGGAAAAAAATGCTCTGGGTAGGTTTGGTGGCATGACTGGTGCCATTGCTGGAGGCCTCTCTTGTGTGACTCTTGCATGATTCTGGGCCAATTTTAGCTCTTCAGGCAGAAGTTTTCCATGCTGGAAATTATTCATGCCTCTGGTTATTTTAAAAAGAGGGAAAATTCCACACAGCCCCCCAGAAAATCAGTGTGGGACTGAAACACTTCAGCTGCTTCTGAAAACAGCAAGAGGGGAAAATATTTTTCCTAGGTCCAGTTCTGATGATCTTTTTGGTGTGCTGGAGGGAGAATTGGAAATTTGAGTGCAGGTGAGCTCTGTGTCAAGAATCTGTCTGTCGTTGTTATCCAGGGAAAACCCATCCAGGCTGATTCAGGCTCACAGCCTTGAGCAACCCCAGTACGTGCATGTTGGGGTCAGGATATTTGTTCATTTAATACCAGTGTTCCCAGTGGCTCTGGCTGCACTTTCCACGCTCCTGCCAGGGCCTGAGCAGGGTTTGTTTTTTAAAAGAGCAGGGGAAAGGTTGGTGCACCCTCCTTGGCTGTCAGGGATGTGGAAAATCCAGGATCCAAGTGGGAGAGAGGAGCTTGGTGGAGCTGAGGAGAGGCTGGGGAACTCCTCCTGGTGTTCCCAATGAATCCACAGCTGAACCATTGGTCACCTTCCATGGTGGCTGAACAATTATTGCAGGAGCAGGGCCAAGGAAAACAGGGTGAGTGCTGAGAGCCGAGCCAGGGGCAAAGTGTGCTCCCCATCCCAGGCAGGCAGGAGGACACTGCAAACACAGACTGAGCAGGAGTGAAGCCTGCAGGCTGGATCCACAGGATCCTGGAGCTTGGAAAAGAGCCCCAAACTCTTGGTGTGCTCCATCCCCACCTTGTCCCCAGCCCAGAGCCCTGAGTGCTCATTATCATCCACAAAGATATTCAAAGATACAAATTCAAAGACACAAATCTTCAGCAATTAGAAGGGAGAATAGGCTGCCCAAAAGATTTAATACCCACATAGAACTTGGCACTTCTTATGATGTGTTGGTTCAAGGTAGATACTCAAGAAACCTTGAGTATCTAAAACTGCTCATTGAGCACTAAATCCTCCAGGGATGGGCTCTCCAAACCTCCCTGGGCAGTCCCAGTGCCTGAGCCCCCTTTCCATGGGGAAATTCCTGCTGGTGTCCATCCTAAACCTGCCTTGAGCCCCCTTTCCATGGGGAAATTCCTGCTGGTGTCCATCCTAAACCTGCCCTGAGCCCCCTTTCCATGGGGAAATTCCTGCTGTGCCCACCCTGAGCCTGCCCTGAGCCCCCTTTCCATGGGGAAATTCCTGCTGTGCGCACCCTGAGCCTGCCCTGAGCCCCCTTTCCATGGGGAAATTCCTGCTGTGCCCACCCTGAGCCTGCCCTGAGCCCCCTTTCCATGGGGAAATTCCTGCTCTGCCCACCCTGAGCCTGCCCCGAGCCCCCTTTCCATGGGGAAATCCCTTTGCCTTGGAGCCACCAGAGTAGCTGCACTCCCCATGCTGGGGTGAGCAGTGTCAGAAGCCACCTTGCTGGTCACAGTGATGCCACAGGTTCCAGCCAGGAACATTTGGGGCTTTTCCTGAGTACTGTGGCCTTGCAGAGCCCTTCCCTTTCCTGTCCTTAGTGCCCAAACCTGGCCCTGTCCTGCACAATTCCAGGTTCTGGCTCTGTCCTGCACAGTTCCAGGTTCTGTCCTGCACAATTCCAGGTTCTGGCCCAGTCCTGCACAATTCCAGGTTCTGTCCTGCACAATTCAGGTTCTGGCCATGTCCTGCACAATTCCACGTTCTGTCCTGCACAGTTCCGGGTTCTGGCTCTGTCCTGTGCAATTCCAGGTTCTGTCCTGCACAATTCCGGGTTCTGGCTCTGTCCTGCACAGTTCCAGGTTCTGTCCTGCACAATTCCAGGTTCTGGCCCAGTCCTGCACAATTCCAGGTTCTGTCCTGCACAATTCCAGGTTCTGGCTCTGTCCTGCACAATTCCAGGTTCTGTCCTGCACAATTCCAGGTTCTGGCCATGTCCTGCACAGTTCCAGGTTCTGTCCTGCACAATTCCAGGTTCCCAGCTCGTGGCTGCTGCACCTTTCCAAGCACCACCACCCTGCCTTTCTCTTCCAAAGGTGGCAGGACCTCCTTTTTCTGCCTCCTTGGCTGTTTCCATGCCTTGTGCCACAGCAGTGTCCCACAGGATGCTGTCACCTCTCCCCAAGGGCTGCTTCCTCCTGGAGCCAAGCCAGCAGTGTGGGCAGATGCAGTCAGTGGTGGCTCCCATCCCTTGGGAAGCGCTCAGTCTGTGCCTTTTCCTGCCCTGGGGTCACCAGTCCAGTGCTGAAATCAGGGTGAGATTCTGGAGCTGGGGGTCAGCTCCACCCTGGGCTCTCTCCTGTGCCCAGGAGGGGTTTTGCTCTGCAGGTCCTCTGCCTCTCCTCCTTTTCTCTGTGAATATTTTCTGTCAGGTGGCAATTTACATCAGGGCAGCCTTTTAGGAATGAAGGAAGATAAAACTGTAATTCCGAGCTTTAAAACCTGGGGTAACTGTAGGATTTGTAGTAAATTTCCAACTCCAAATGCTAAACTCAGTTCTGCATAAACCCCTTAGCTGGAGGAATAATTTCCTTCCAACAGGACTGAGGCTCTTTCTCAACACTCACAATTCCAGATGTGAGCTGCTGGCAGCAGATGGAGGCTGTTCCTGAGAAACAAAGGGATGGGATTGGGGCTTGCAGGGTGCTGGGAATGTCAGCTGGCATGGAAGGGGGAAATCAGGCACTGGAGTGGCCTCTGTGGTGGGCAGGGAGAGGATCAGGGTCTGCTCCTGCCTGGGAGGTGCTGCCAGCCCTGTGCAGTGCCTGAGGGCTCCCCTGTGGGATGCTCCCCTGACGAGTTCCTTGGAAGGATCCTGTTGAAACCACAGGCTGCCAAGAGTGCCACTGCTGCTTAGAGAACAGATTCTGGCTGGTCTCTTGTGGTTTCTCGTGGAAACCCCCAGAAGGAAGCATTTTTTCCCCCCTTTGTCATTGTGAGTTCAGCAGGCACGGCTGGCAGTCACTTGAGCTCTTCATGTGACTGAGAGCCACTGATGTCTTGCTGCTCTCCTAAAACACCCCAAACCCACCCTTTCACACCTTTCCTGCTCTTGCCAGCCCCCTGTGCTGTCCCCACTCCACGTCCTCAGCACCTTCTGCCTTTTGGCTGCAGCCACATTCTCAGAATCCCAGAATTATTGAGGTTTGAATTCTCAGAATCCCAAATTACTGAGGTTGGAAAAACATTTCTGATACCATCAAACCCAAGCTGTGCCTGATCCCTTCCTTGTCCCCAGCCCAGAGTTCTGAGTGCCACCTCCAGGGATGGGGATCCAACCCTCCCTGGGCAGTTCCAGTGCCTGAGCCCCCTTTCCATGGGGGAATTCCTGCTGTGCCCACCCTGAGCTATCTCATGTTCCCTCTCCTCCTGTCCCTGTTCCCTGCAGCACAGCCTGACCCCCTGGCTGTCCCCTGGCATGTTTCAGGGTCCCCCTCTTTGGGATAGATTGCCCCAAGGCTTTTCCCCTTGCAGTCAGACCCTTCAGCCCCTGAGGATGATGATGCTCTGTGGCTGCTTCTCTGCTCAGAGCTTTCATTTTGAGGCCAGGGCTGCAGACACAGCACAGGCTGGGCTAATCGTGCTCCCTGCACAATTCGGAGACAGAAAAACTGGCAATTTGAAGAACTCTAAAATTGGCTGTGCCTCTCCCTCCCATTCCTGTCTGTCTGTGCATCCATCCAGTGTGTTTCCCAGCTCTCTTGTTTGTCCATATGTTCAACAGCTCCTTCAGGTTCTTTGCTGGAAGCTCTCAGCTCTGACCCACCGGGAGCTGTCTCATCTTGGAGCGAGTCCTGCAGCCCTGGGGCCAGCAGCTTGGTGTGCAACACCAGAAAATAAATAGTCTGTTGAAGTGGTGCCTGCTTCCATGAGAGAATTGGCAGCAGGCAGTGGCCTGTGCCTGCCATGTCCACGTGGAGCAGAGCCTGGTGCTCCTGGAGGGGTTCCTCACCTGTTGTGTGCACACAGGCGCC